GCTTAAACTCATTTAAAAAAATAGCAAGTTTGGGAGATGATTTAGCAATTCTACATTTATGAATGAAAAACTTAGCTAGACGTACAATTGTATTAGTGCAGAGCTCATCACCCTTACTTTGCAATATTAGGCCAAAAGTGACATCGTCCCTGGAGATAAAGGTTGGGAATGAAGATAGCTGTTGTTTAATCCATCTATGCAAATCACACCAAAATGTTTGCAGCACTGAACATGAGCAGAAAACATGGTCCGTTGTGGAATGCCTACTTCCTGTTTTTTCTATGAATTTTGCAGCCATAGAGCTGTTTAAAGGGGCCGTTCACAAATGTCAACATTTCAACAAATTAGTTCATTGTTCCGTTGATTTATTTAATGACCTGCACTGTAAACATGTTTTAATAAAGAAGCTTGTATGCGAGTTTATTTTAAGGGGAAGGTGGGGGTTTGGGTTTCTAAAGTGTATGTTTTGTAAAATTGCTAAAATTATACAAATTGTAAAGAATCCCTAATTGTTTTTGGAGTAAATACGAAAAAAGATATGTTGAATTGGTTTTGATAACTTCTTAATTATTCATTTTATTTTTTTTTAAATGGATTAATAATAATAGAACTTTATTGATCTCACACTGAAGAAATGCATTCTCTGCAATGCGGGGTAAAGGGTCTTACTCAGGGACCCAGAGTGGCAGTCTGTCGGAGATGAACTCAGAACCTCTGGGACCCAAGCACAATCCTCTATCCTGGAGGCCACCACTCCCAATTACGTGACAATTATATGATAGTGGAATCCTTAATGCAGACAGTTTTAGATACTGAAAACTCCTAATTTCCTCCTGCATGGTAAGTAAAGTAATATAAATTATTAATTAAGATAATAGATGTTTTTTGTTGTCTGATCATATGGTACTTTATGCTTTGAGCTGGATCCAGCTGATATCCAATCCAGGGACCTGATCCTAACCCTCTAAATATATAGATTTTGTCACCTATCATGCAAAAATGTACATGGGTCAAGCCATAGTCGCAAAATTAATAGTATAAAAATTAATCATAGATTTTTTTTCTTATGAAAACATCTAAAAAACGCAATGAAAATGTATTTAGCCTCTTAAAAAAATCTACATGAATTCTAGTGGAGCCTATTGCTTGCGGTAGTGTTCTAGCCTACTTAGTATATATAATCTATTCTTTCTGTACAGGCTGCTGTACTATTAACCACTGGGTGATTATTAGAGAACATTAGTGACCAAATAGCATCATGAATTTGAAAGAACAGTGTATGGGATAGTTGTAAACATACCAATACATGTTATCCACCTAGGTAAAGAGTTGAGATTGTAAAACATTAGAGAGAAAGCCATTAGTTTGGAAAAAGCACCTGTGGATATTCAATTCAATTCAGTTTATTTCTATAGCGTCAATTCACAACACATGTCATCTCATGGCACTTTACAGTTCACCAGATCATACAGTCAAATTGATGCAAAGTTTTCTATCTAAGGAAAACCAGTTGATTGTACAGACTCATTGACTTGGATGTAATCCCTCACACTAAGCATGCTTGTAGCGACAGTCGAGAGGAACAACTCCCTTTTAACAGGAAGAAACCTCCAGCAGAACCAGGCTCAGTGTGAGCGGCCATCTGCCGAGGCCGACTGGGGTTCAACGAGACAGAAGCAGAGATACAAAAAGCAGCTGTAAAAGGTGGCCCCGTCCAGGAAGCACACAGCCAGGCAGACAAGCTCTGAGCCAACTCCCATTTCAGAGGATGAAGAGAGCACATCCAGCCAGTCACAGTCAGAGAAACAGGAACACACCGGGAAAAACAGGCCAATCTCCAACATCTATAAACAAAGGTGTTGATGGCAGCAGCACAGCTGATATTTCGCTCCAGGGTGGTGTCACAGCCAAACTGGAACAGACGAGACAAAGCTACTTTGAGAAAAGGCAGAAAGAGCAAAACGTTAGAGATTAAACTACAGCGAACATGTGGAAGAAAATGCTCTGGCTACACAATACCAGAATGTAACTGCTTAGTTTGCATAAAAAGTTCCCCATGTGACAGAAAACTAACACTAACAATGGAGCTGGAGACATTTATCTTATGGAAAGACTTTTATTCAGCAGTTTCGGCAGTTTTGACTGAGTGTGCTGGACCTAAAAACAGGGAAGTGAGCGGTTTTGAGCCATATGGATTTGTCATCATTTAAATTCAACATAAAGTCAGGTCTATATATGACCTTTCTGCATATTGATTTGAAACAGTTTATTTAGCTTTTATCAATCTCTATTGTCTTGGTTCTATGGCGTCTCCACACTCTACATGGAAACACGTGTTGACCAACTGATAGCCATTTTCACCCACAGCTTAAACAGATCCATGGATCAATGTATGGTCTGCTTTAGTATTAAATGCTCCACCATAATCCGGCACTTACTCTTCATGCTGCACCGCCTCAGCCACCCAGGGAAAGACATGATCCTGTTTGTGGGTATCAGCTTCGCTTTCAGAACCAGCACGCTCCACTTTTTAGTGGATCACAAGTTTCCTAGCTGACCAGCAGCGCCTCAGCAGACAGGTATTTGAGACTCCTGAAGTTTGAAAATTGAAGTTAAAGTTCATTGTTCTGAAACTGGATAGCAACAACTCTGCATGCAGTCTAGCAGTGGACTGGCTGGTCCATTGCTAGGTTCAAAACCACCTGAAGCAAACCTGCTGAAAAGGAGGGAGATGAGGGTAAACTTCAGCTTTTTAGACAGCAAACGAATATTTACATTCCATAAAGTGCAGCAGCAATCAAATGTAAACAGTATAGGAGAAAAAACATTGTGCAAAAAAAACACATTGATATGGAAGTTCAGAGCATAAATATATATGGTACAAATATGCAGTATTTTGGTACTGGTGTGATGCAGGGCCTGTGAAATGATTTGGAGTTACTAAAGTTGACTAAAGACAAAGTCACCTTTCTTTGTGTCATCAGGAGAATGACAAAGCTGTCCCTGTAGCAGCCAAGCTGACCTCATAATGAGGAATTCTTCTATTTCTTACATGTCGTAACAGGTAGTTGTGTTGTTTTTACTAAATCATTACTTCCTAATTCTGGGGCTTTTAAAGGAAGCACTCGACTTCCAGAGAAATAAAAAATAAACATACTAGACATTACTAGTGGTTTGTGTGCAGCATTTGGGATTTTTTAAAAGTTTTATTAAGTATTAGAAAAACTAATAGCTAAATGTGTTTTTCAGGCTTGTATTAGGATGTTTCATTTGTACCAACAGTGTTGGTGTATTGCACAGTTCAGATAAAAAGTGCTGATCGTTTTATTTCCATAGAATTTGTGACTGAATTATGTAAAATTGACTTTTTCTTGTATAACCTTAGAGTATTTATCTGGTTCTGCTGGTGGTTTCTTCCTGTTAAAGGAGAGTTTTTCCTCTCCACTGTCGCTACAACCAGGCTTGGTGTGAGAGATTGCCTTTGAGTCAATGAGTTGATGCAATGAACTGGTTTTCCTTAGAAAATTTTGAATCATTTTGGCTATATGATATGGTTGTATTTTCTCTGTAAAGTGCCTTGAGAGGACATGTGTTGTGAATTGGCACTACAGAAATTAACTGAATTGAATTACTTGATTTAATATTAAGTACATTTTTTGGTTTACTAACATATAGCGAAAGCATTCTGTTACTTTTAATTTATTACATTTTTAAAAGTGTATTCTTTCACCCTTTCCCTCATACTGGATTTCTAAAATGAAATCTTACTTTCCATTTTAAAGTCCCCCAACCATCTGTTGTCAAACTGAGAAGCTTTACAGACTGGTCAAAAAATTGAAAATATTACACTATGCCAGTGTAAAAAAAACAAAACAAAAAAAAACTATACACTATACAAATGTGCCACTTTAAATGTCTTAATTTCAAGATTAATATAAAGCACATAATTTGGGGCCATAAAACATTGACTTACTTTTAAAAGCTTTGAACCTTCTGTGTCACTTTACTCTAGATACACAAATTATTGCATTAAAATATACAGAGTAACATCAAAAGGCCTCTTGAATTTATTTTATTTTTTAAGATCCATGTTGGAGGAAAAGAGCAACTTATGGTTGCGAGCTGCAGGTTAAATACCCTGATCTACATTAAATTAAATGGATTAATTTCGGCTGAATGAGACCTGCCAACAGTGCACAATCAAATTAGCAGAGAAGACAGCAGAGAGAACAGTGCAGTGTCACAATCTCCCACAAAAACCTGTCTGGCCATTGAAAGATGTAAAGAAACACATTCTTCAGATTCTTTTGAGTTACATCCGGGACAACTCTCAAGTAAGAAAAACACATGAGCTCATATATCCTTTAACTCAACCAAGAGAAAAGAAAAAGGTTTATGCATTTGAAGATAAATTCGATGGCCAAAACAAAAAGGTTGGCTTTTAAAATGGCTGACTTTGAACAAACCTAATTTTAACATTTAGATTTAACCTTAATCTAACCTGGAATGACTCACATGCCGAGAAGTTGCAATTAAAAAGGTTACTTAACTGTCATGAAAGAGAGAAGATATTTGGCACTCAGACCCCGGCAAAAGAGAATTAATATGTGATCTGATGTTTGGTTTAAGAAGGAATTAGTTGGTGGCACTGCTGCTTTGCAGCAAGAAGGTTTCGGGCTTGATTCCCGGCCCATGGTCTTTCTGCATGGAGTTTTTATCTTCTACCTGAGCATGCATACATTCTCTCCGGATACTCAGGCTTCATCCCACAGCCCAAAAACATGGCGGTTAGGTTGATTGGCTTCTCCAAATTTTCTTAGGTGTGAGTGTGTGCGTGAATGGTTGTTTGTCCTGTGTTGCCCTGCGATGGACTGGTGACCTGTGCAGGCTGTACCACACCTCTCACCCGTAGACAGCGGGAGATAGGCACCAGTGACCCCAACTGGGATTAACCATGATAAAAAATGGGTGGATGGAGGATCATCAACCCTCCCTGCTGGTTAATTGTTCAATGTAATCATTTATTTGTGTGTTTATTTTCACACCTGCACTATAAATGCATACCACTCCAGTTTTACCATCAAGGTGTCCACTGACATCTGTATAAATGCAAATTGTGGATAGAAACACTTTTCTAGTGTCATTGGACCTCAGTTTTGCCCTCAACACTGTTGATCACTCCTTTCTATAAGAGTGTCTGAAGAAGTGGGTCAGCCCTTCTGGTACAGTTTGAATCTTACTGGAAGGACAGGGACTTTTTTGCGTAAGTAGGTAAATTTTAACCATCATGGCGACTCAATTCATTATCAATTTCCTGACCCAACGATTCAATTATTTTCAATACTCCAGATTCCGCCATGTCTCTCTTGCCCACTGTTTACAGTGTGTGTGCAAGCGGAAAGAGAGTAGTGGCTAAAGGAAGTGAGGTAGGAGGGCAAAATAGGTTTATTGCCACCATAGCACGGGAGTCAGAATTAGGTGTAGGAGCAAATGAAAATAAAAAAAAACAAACATGAATGGATAATCTTGCTGACATGTCGATGCATCGAATCGTTGGCTGTTGGAATGATGCATTGATACAAAACGATTATTATTTACACCCCTAGTAACTTCACATCACTAACCACAAAACCTATATATAAGGTTTCCCAAGGGTGCATCTAGGAGAGCCTCCAATTTAATATCTACAAACAATAAGATACCATCACAATGCTGATGATTTACAAGTTATCTTTAAGTGTCACCGGGTAACTGTGAACCCATTCAAGAGCTGAGTAAATACTTAAAAGAAACTAATGCATGGATGGGCCAAAACATTCTCTAGTTGAATAAAAACAAAATTCAAGTTATATATACACCAGAGGAGGCGCAATTAAATTGAGAAGCTTGAAATCTGGATGTAGTGATGGACCTTCAGAAGTACATAAAGACAGGAAAAAGGTCCTTATATCACCTACAGAACATTTCCAGGATTAAATGAGAAGGATGTCTAAAATCAAATGAATGTGTTGTCTTTAGTAGAACTGACTGCTGCAGCCGTGTTTTCACAGCCACTGTTGATCCTAAATGATGCTGCCCGCACCCTCACTAAAAATAAGAAAATGGGGCACATCACCCAACTTCTAAAATGCTCACTGGCTGTATTTTAAAGAGCAGACTGAACTTTTTCAAATTTAGGATCACTAAATGACTGAGCACTAACAGACTTCTTGCCAGAGTACTAGCAGCCTAGACAAATGAGGTCTATCGGCTCAAGCCTACCTAGAAGCAGAACCAAATAATGATGCAGTTCTTATATTCGACTGATCTGGAATGAAGTTCAAGAAGATTGTAAATGTTCTGACTTACTGAGTTCTTTTAAATCAAGGTTAAAAACTAATTTGTTTGGAGTTGCCTTCCTATGTTTTATTCAAACTGTTAACTGAAACATAATTAGTTTAAGTTTATAATGTTTATATTATAAATCTTCTTTTCCTGCCTATTTAATGTCACTGTAATTTACTCTTTTGAGTTTTTTTTTCATATGTTCTATTCATTTATAGAAATGTTACATGTCTTGTCACTAATTTGTGTGATTCAAATAAATAATAATAAAAAAAAAATGATCTTGCCCAATCCCTAGAAGTGTCACCTTTTATTACTAAGCCCTAAGCACGTTTTACTGCACCTGACTGTCATTAAAAAATAGTTTAAAAGTTTGACATCTTGCATAAATTGGATTTTTTTTTTTTTTTTTTGCTGAAGACAAACTCTTCCCTACTGCCACATTCACTGATCTAGATGCTCACCTAATTTACATCTATGGAAATATTGACCTTTTTAACTTATATTTAAATGTCATAAAACTCTAATCCATCTTTTCTCTCTAAAACAGTCAGCTTGTGTTATATTCTTACAATTAAATAGTTTCAAGGTTTTCACAGTAGGTTTACTCAGATGTATTTTTGAAATTGTAGAAATGTATCCTGCATATTAGTTTTTGTGACTTCTAATTTTTTTAGTTTTTTTTTTTTTTTTCCAGGCAGGAGAATAAATAATACCGTCTCTTATATCTTCAGATGTTTTTTCATCTGCCACAGTGCAAGTTGGGTGTTGTTATTTATCCAATCATAACACCTTACACTTTCATCCCAGCGCTTGTTTTAAAGGCTGTGCCGATAGTTCCCTTCACCCACTTTAGAGACATTTCCTGGTTTCGCTGGAAGACAGCAGTTTAAAGTGGACGTCAGTGCCTGACCACGGTCTGCCTTGCCTTGTATGCTTGCCTCATCGTGTTTCAGAGGAAGAGGAGTGTTTGTGGGAAGCGCTTCTCCTAAGCGCATGTTGCGACACATCCAGGAACATTTTAACTCTCTCGCAAAGACTCCCGACCAACGCTCAGCGCTGCGCTCTTCTGGAAACTGTGGCGGTGGGTTATTTTTCAACATATACAACACGGGACACCTACTTTTTTATATATATATAATGGAGTTAATCTGAAACACTGGAAACAATTTTTCCAAATCCAACTGTTCCCATTTTCGACTTTCACTTTTGTGCGCACTTTCAAAATTAGGCCTATGGCTTCTCTCCAGCTGCTTTTTCTCTTTGGATTCTTTGCGAGCGTCAAATCTGGTCTTGGTATGTATGTATGTAACAGCCGTTTGATGATAAATATTTACTAAAATGTTGTCAAAATCTAACTATAGCTTAACTGAATGTGTCGTGTAGAACTCAGCTGTACCTACGACTATGAAAAAGAGATGTTTTGCCAGCTGGCGGCCGAACAGTGCTCTCAATACACCCTAGACGTCACGGCTGCATATGAGTGAGTGTTTTGCTTTAGTTTTCTGGTTCATTTTACATGCTTATATATGAAATGTCTACAAATCTTTGTTTCTCTTTATAGTCAACACAGAAACAGCTGCTCTATGTGGCAGTGTGGCCATGAACAATGTTGCTGCTCACTGAATATTGAATTTGGACCTGGGGATTCTTGCACTGTAGAAGCCTTTAATGGAAGCGAAAAAGTGGATTCCAAGTGGATTGATAATACCCTGGAAATAAGTATGTAGAGGTTTTTAAAAGTTGAAAAGCTCTGCTATACACAGACTAGAAGCAAACTAAAAAAGCTCACGCCTTTTCTCTGTCCTTACAGTAAAGCCCAAAGCTCCAACTATTGTCTCGGTGGAAAAAAAGGAGAGAAACTTTGTTGTCAAATGGAGGACAAACATGAATCCCATACTTGATCCACTGATTTTTAAATTGACTGTCTCTAAAAAAGAAGACAAAGAAATAGTTGTAAGAGATTCCTAATGGGTCCTTTGTGTTTGGTTCTGTTTATGCACTATTGTTTTTTTTGTTGTTGACAAAAAAATATCAACCGCAAACACTTTCTCTTTCATAACAGTTTTCTAAAGAGGTCAACGCAGCTAAAGACAATAATCTGCAGAGGTATGAAATAAATGGGAAAGAATTGGAACCAAATACGGCATATGTTGTCCGAGTGCAGAGCAAAACAAATTTGAGTGGTATCTTCAGCAACACAAGTAACGAGATGGAGTTTGAAACCCGTAAGTCTTACTTTATGTTCAAAGTTTAAGTTTTCTCTCTGTGACAAAGAGGTTTAGTTAGTCCCTTATTCTTTCTTCTGAATCTTTGTAATTCTTAAATTTAAACATTATTTTGCAACTTTGACTTTCACTTACTATCCCGGGTTTGTTTGTGTTAGCATTATGTTGCAGTTTCCATCTACTTATGTTTAGGTTAAAGCTATTACTTCAGGATTATTGGATGAAATTGTATATTTTATTTCAAAATATATTCATGGCATTTGTTTTCCTTTTTACTCACCATTGTTTAAGTATTTCCTACTAAATTGACTAAATGATGTCATCCATTACTTTGCTGGGTTCTACCATTTAGAGGGTTTCCTTTAGAGTTATGCTTTGTTTGTTTTTCTTTAAAGTAACTTTTTGAGTTATCTAGTTTCACACTGTTTATTTTGCAGACTCTTTTTTTATGTAGATGAGTTTGTAAATTAGATTAAGTTTATTCTTGTTTCTCTGTTTAAACTTTTTTTTTTTTTTTTATGAGTTTGCAAATAAGATTAATTTTATTCTTGTTTCTCTGTTTAAACTTTTTTTTTTTTTTTTTTACCTGTTTAATTGAGGCTTGGTCCACTCAAGTGCAGGTGTGTTGCCACTTGATTATATAAGCCGAGGAAAATGTTTTGTCTGAGAGAAAAGGAATAAAAGACAACAGAGAAACTGGAACCAGTGGCTGAAGCTGTTTTTTTTTTTTTTTTGGTTCAGCTTATTAACCCTCGACCAAACTGCTTCACACTCTCCTTAAATAAATATTTTAGATGGGACATTATACAATAAAAATAAACTTTTATTGTTTCTGAGTAATAAAAGGAATAGTAAAAAAAAATAGATGGTAAATGGCAGTTTCTAATGCAAATCTGCCCTCACAAACCTTTAAATCAACTCATCATTTATTTCAGAATATTATCATTTCTGAAAAAGAGAATTATTAAATGTATCATTCTGTACTTCCAGCTGTTGTTCCTCTTACCATAATAAAGATATTTTTAAATACTATGATACCAAAACATTAGATTCAAATCAAACATTAAAAGTTATTTTTTGTTTTTTTTTAGCCCAGTGAAATTAATTTGACCAAGAAAGCCTCAGAGGCATCCCTTCATGTTAGTATTTGCAGATATCTGATGTAATAAAGAACAGCAATGTGTTAGGAGAATAGTGCTAATGCTTTGTTTTTTTTTTACTTGGACATAGAGTATATTTGAACTATAAGGCATTGTTTTGATGAGATCGGATTCATACCCCCCCCACAAAACAGACCACTGAGACGTTAACATTGGCCTGTATGTCTCAGCTGGTGTATTTACAGGATTTCTAACTCTGACTTTTCATTTGTCACCTCACAGCTGCTTCCTTTCAAACGTTGTACCTTGGAATTATTATTGCCCTCAGTGTACTTGGCATCATTTTGTTTGTCTCTGCTTACACCTGCTTTGTAAGGTAAGCCTTGAAGCCTTAATGACAAATTTGTCTTGTGGCTGTATTGACTTAGACTTAGACAGACTTTATCATCATATTGTACACACAGACTGTATACAAAAAGAAATGTCGTACAGTACAGCTCTCAAGACATTTTCATTTTTTAAAGTGCAGCCGTGGTAAAAATTGACTCACATGCTTTTCTTTCCTCAGTATCCTAACTTTTGTGCTTTGTCCACACTTATTCATAATTTTTTTTAGGATTAAAAGGAAATGGTGGGATAGTTTTTCAGACCCAAAAAAACTTCTTATGCCAGCCATGATGCCACAGGTAAGATTCTATTTTGGGCTTTTTTATTTCAGCTAATTTGACCAAAAGCATTGAGAGTGACACATATAGCCAGAGTATGGCTAAAATGCAGAACTGGTCATGGGCATTTGAGGTGTGTTGGCCCCCCTCCCTGAGGGGGCGCTAGCACTTTTCAGGTGAGGTGCATTTTAAGGAAGAAAATAAACTAAAAAAAAAAAAGTATTTTATCATATTTCTCTACATATGATTTTTTTTTTTATTATTTATGTTTTACTACCTTTCTTTATTTTTATTACCTTTGCTTTGTATTTGTTCATGCCCCCGGTGGATAAAGTTATCTATAATTACTCTGTATTCTCAGGAGTATAGTCATTTGGTTTCCTTCTAACAAAGAAGGAAAAAAGCCTTTTAGCATATAGCCAGCTAAGCTATAACCTATGGCAAGCCCACATCTAAATAGGTGTGAGAATGCAGTGTTTCTGTGTTAAAATGATCAAAAAACAAAGGGGGAATATGGACTGACGTATCACCGATGTTATACGTAAAAGCGCATGCCTGCAGATATGTGTTGCTATGCTTGTCCCGATCCGATCCACGTATCGGATCGGGACGCCGATATTGGCAAAAAAATGCGTATCGGCAAAGCATGTAAAATGCCGATCCAGACTGCCGATCCAGCTTTTAAAAAAAAATCCGGTCCGTATTTTCCAGTTTCGCCGATTGAAACGATCCATTCAACTATTTTGCGCCAGTGTTCCCCTGTTTTGCATTTTTATTAAAACTTACAGTAATACTTGCACCTTTAACTGTTTACGGTTTTACTGCTCACTGTGCAATTTCAGATTGCTATTCATAATTTTGTCCAGTTTGTGTTTATCTCTTAATAAACAGGTAAGTTTGTTGTTACCAAGCATTGTGTTTTATTCAATCTCACCTAATTTAGCTGGCTAGATGTTATCAAGAGTACTAAAACCCTTTTCAACATGAGTCTTACAACTAAGGCTAAATACTTTAACTTAAACTTAAATACATGCTCGGATAGGCTGGTATCGGCCAGTATCGGTATCGGATCGGAAGTCCAAAAACAATATCGGTATCGGATTGGAAGTGCAAAAACCTGGATCGGGACATCTCTATGTGTTGCCATAACTTTGCTCTTTGCAACCTTATATTAATGAAGAAAATAGGACTTAAAGCCAATTTATGCTTCTGACGCATAGCCTCTGCAACAATCAAATCTGTCTCTGTACCGTCGTCGCGCACTTGAAAAAAATCCTGACTACGCGTCGGACGGTCGGAAACCCATGCAGATCTGGGAGACAAAAAGCAGCTTTGATTGGTACTTGGTATGCCTTTCCGGCGGTCTGCGTGGTCGTCCCTCTCGATTCGGTGCCGGGGTGCGCCATTTTTAAAAACTGAGGAACAACTACAATGGACAATTACGACGAAAGGTTGTTCGGTCTTTTTGCCAACTCTATTAACAGAACCTGTTCCTCTTCGATGTCGAGCAACTCAAGATCCATCTCCGTGACCATGATATCTTGCAGCAAGCCATTGTTGTTTTGGAAGATAAACGCTCCCGCTGGCGCCGCTAAAGTTCTCGTGACCATCTGCCGAAGTATGATTGGAGTTCCTTTAGCAATCCTAATAGTACATTTTATTTAATAGTGTATTCAGAGCAACATTACACCAATAACAACAAGCTTAAAAACAACACACTAAAAGCTATGACCAGCAGCCAATTACAGAGAATAGGCCCCTTTTAACAGATGGGAAGTGAGTTTAGTGTTAAACAAAGGAAGGATGTCGAGGGTGAAGCAGACTTCTCGGAATTACAATATACGTATATTCTTTGTCTACTGTGGCTGTTTTGTTTTATATTCTGTCTTTTCATGCATTGTTTCCTGTTGCTGTCTTTCTCTCTCCCTATAGTTTTTATCCTGTGTTTCTTTTCCACCTTCCTTTCTGTCTCTGTGTCCATTGCATATGATTTTACTCCCTAAATAATATATAATTAATTTCATTTAAAAAAGTTTCATATACAAGTACCAAGCAGAATCTTATGGCAACAGTCATAATGGCCTGGGTGTGAAAGCAAATCTGTTGGGCTATCATCTAGCTCTGGGACATTTATTCCCAGTGCCATATTAGCAAAACAAGCCAAAAGAAGAGATGAAAGTGATGAGGCTATCGATAAGAATATACACAGAGTGCAGGCAAAAGGAGAGATGAAGATGATTGTTATTATGCAGATAAAAACAGAATGGGCAATGTTACTGATGTGAGAGATGAAAGGGTAGAGCCCTATTGGAATAAAACCCAGAAAGGGAGAATCTGAAACCTTTCAGTAAAACAGATTTGGTTCTACAAGTGTGATCTCAGCTCAATGATAATCTTAATGAAGTTAGAGATAAACCATGACTTTATTTCAGGTAAGCGTTACGTTAGGGAGAATGGTGGAAGTTTTGAATTTGGCTCACAAGAACTATAGAGCTGGGTGTCATCAACATAATGATGAAAACAATGTGAAATGTACAAGAAGACACTGAAAAGGGCTAAGGGCAGACTATACTTCTGCAACCATACACAAAAATTGTCGCTTGGGTGTGGTCGTGAACCAGTTTTGCTGGTATGCCTCTACACCGTCGGTCTGAAATTTCTAGGGATGCACACCAGTTTACATCCATAGCTCAAGGGGAGCCTATTCGAGAACTCGCGAGAACTTCGGCAGCGTCAGCGGGAGTGTTTGTCTTCCAAAACAACAATGGCACGTCTGCAAGATATCACGGTCACGGAGATGGATCCAGAGTTGCTCGACATCAAAGAGGAACAGCTTCTGTTAGTGGAGTTGGCAAAAAGACCGAACAACCTTTCGTTGTAGTTGTCCATTGTAGTTGTTCCTGAGTTTTTAAAAATAGCGCGCCCCGGCACCGAATCGAGAAGGACGACCACGCAGACAGCCGGAAAGGCATATCAAGGACCAATCACAGCTGCTTTTTGTCTGTAAACATCCGCTTGAGATCTGCGCGGGTTTGCGACTGTCCGACGCGTAGTTAGGAATTTTTTTGAAGTGCGCAACGACGGTAAAGAGACAGATTTGACGGTTGCAGAGGCTATGCGTCAGAAGCATAAATTGGCTTTAAGTCCTATTTTCTTCATTGATATCAGGTTGAAAAGAGCAAAGTTATGGCAACATATCTGCAGGCATGCACTTTTACGTATAACATCGGTGATACGTCAATCCATATTCCCCCTTTGTTTTTTTATCATTTTACACAAACACTGCATTCTCACACGTATTTAGATGTGGGCTAGCACAGAGACAGATTTGATTGTTCCAGAGTTTATGTGTCAGAAGCATAAATTGGCCTTTAGAATATGGGCCCCAGGACAGAGGGGCTTACCGGCTATGATGGAGAATTGATGTAAGGCAAATTAGAAAGATGGCAGAAATGATCATAGTTGTTTGGATCTAGGCTGGATGTGTTCTGTTTAGAAGAGGATAGGAACAATTCTAGTAGTAAGTAATGAAGTGAATGATAGCAGTTATGAAGGGATTGAGAGCTTGATGACAGTTAGTGTTGCACCAATACTGATACCAGTATCGTGTGGGGCCCTGCACTAAAATGGTGGCATTAGAATCTGGCAAGTACCAACAAATAAGGCACCGATAACATTTTGAGAGCCAAAAGTTTATTCAATTAGTGTCAACCATTCCAGGTAGGCAATACAAATTTCTACTGGATTCACTTTGTATTAGTCATTTTCCTGCTTCACAAAGGTAGGCAGCAGCTTGACAAAGCCATGATGGCAATTATTTTACATCCAAGTAGTATACAGTTCTTCATATACACACACACACATCAATTTCAAACAGATATCGGTATGGCATCTGTATCGGCCAATACTGCTCAGCCAGGTATTGTTTCGGGGCCAAAAAATGGCATTGGTGCAACACTCAAGGCAGGACTTGACTGGGCAGCTGGGGTGGATTTAGCAAAGAAGTAGAAGACTTAGATTTAATATGTGATGTCAGAAATGTAATAGATGCTTGGAAAGTGAAAACTGGAAATGGTTGACTAAGTGGGAGGATTTCAAGATTTTACATTACGATTTGTGCTTTTCATTGCAAATTTTTTTAGATCACCTCATAACCTCAAAGGAGACCATCTTTATGTCTGTAGTGTTCATCTGGAGATATTTTAATAGATATTTTAATGGAGCCTGATTTTCCCTTACTGTAAGGTCAGTCCACAGTTGATTGGCAGTAAGCAGCACAATTTGAAGGAGGGAGAAGGTGCGTTCCTCTATTCTCCATACATTAGGACTTTAAAGTGTGTGACATTACTTTGTAGTTTAAGAACAAAAACATATTAAAACCTTGGTAAACACTGATACTCGGTTCCCCTTAAAGTTGTGTTTCTCTAACAACTTTGCACCATCCTGACTGGAAAACATGTGAATGGTTGTTATAAGCTTGCTCATGTTCCTGGTGTAGTGTGGTGTTCTTAGCTTGCAGCTTGTGCTGAACATGCCCCTGCCCGGAGCCAGCCAGAATGAGGGGAAAATCACATAATATAAAAGCTGCAGACGCTATAAAGGATAGCTCATTTTCTGCACGGAATGTCAATGCTTCAAGCATGAGAACTTTAGTCAGCAGTTTCTGATCTAATAAATTGTTTACGTTTCAGGTTCTAAAACCTTCACCTATCACCCCCTCAAATATCTGGATTGATACGCCAAAACCAAACGACGACGATCAGACGTAAATACTGCTACTATGGTAATCATTTTGTTTGTGTGTGAGATTATGTTGGTGAGTAACCCTTTCTCCATGTTTAGGCTAAAAATGCTCCAGAACCAGAGAGAAGACGTCAGTATGGATTCTAACAGCTGTGGAATCAGCCCAGGCTCTTCAGATCCTTGTTATGGTCAGGCTGAACCTCCTGATCCCAAGGCTATCATTAATTATGCTCTGTGGAAAGCTTTAAACGGCTGCCTGCCAAAGAACCTTGGCTCGCCTTTCCCAAATTTGGAGCTTCCTGTTTCCCAGGATCAAAACATGCCAAATATAGTTTCAAGAGAAACAAGTGCTGCCTCATCAGGAATTGTCAATCGGAGCTATTTTATGTCTCTTCCCAGCCCCTCAAATCAGACTGTGGACGACGGCTCTGGAGTCAATTTCCCGGACGACTCCAGGTATTCGTGTAAAAGTGACACTGTGAACAATCCTGACCATCAGGCACTTGCTTTTTTACTTCTGGCACAGAAAGATACTTCACCTGCTGGGCGAGTAGACCAATCATATCAGCCATGCAAAGTAGATTCTAGTAGATCTATATATGACAGCTCCAGAGCCGAATTTCTAGTTGACCCTGGGTATTCAATTAAAAGCAACACTGTTTGCAGTCCTGACCAACAGGTACGTGCTTGTCCCCTTCCTGCTCTGAAAGATATCTGTTCTCCTGCGCGAGTAGTGCTGTCATATCAGCAATGCAATCCTGATCCTAAGAGATCTTCTTCTACAGAGGCCAACAGTGCATCCTCCAGCAGTACCACCACAGGGTGTGGGTTTGAATTCAGATTTGAGAGAAGTGATGAAGGGTCCATCAACTCTGAATTTAACAGTGAGATGTTTGTGCCTTCAGGGTCAGATTGCAGCATTAAAATTGCGGATGGCTACAAGCCATTTTCAAACAAGGTGGAAGAGTCCGATGTGATCATTTCAAACAAGGTGGAAGAGTCAGATGTGATCATTTCAAACAAGATGGAAGAGTCTGTGTTCATTTCAAACATGGTGGAAGAGTCTGATGTGATCATTTCAGAAAAGCAAAGCAGTGATCCTCTATGCGAGAACAAGAATCTAAATGAGGGAGTCTACAACATCCCTCAAACCAGCTTGATCCCAGGTTTGAATCAGTGGTTTGGTCCCAGTGGGTTTCCACAGACCCCACAGAAACTACATTTACCCATGATGCCTAATCACTCATCTGCCCCAGTACTGATTGATAGTGGATATAAATGCGTGTAGTTCACCAACTCTCTGGTTTTCAGGGAATATACTTTAGGGTGTGGAAGCTGCAGCAAAGCTGTCAGTTTGTAGTGCTGCTCCATCTAATGGTTAGAGCAGGAAATACTAGTAATGTTTTGTTTTTTTTTGTTTTTTTTAACCGCATATCCGATATTTTTTCCTTTGTTAAATTGTATCATCAGGGATTTCATTCCTTGACATCAATGGACCTCGGAGGAGATTCAAATAAGAAAAAATTTGGAAACTGCAATAGATATTTTTTTTATTTACTACTGTGTTCATATTTTTTAAAAGAGGCTTTATTTGTACAAAATGTAAATGTTTTTGTTTTTGCCTATACATGTGAGTGTACAGGTCTGCCTTATAGTATTTCTGTAAAAAAAATAAATAAATAAATGCGTGAGGAAAGCAGAGGAATGTCATGTTTCTGCTAGATGACATGTTCTATCTTCATTTTGTTCACCAAATAAACTTCATGTGTTTAGCATTGTACCAATGCTTGAATCTATCATTACTGAGTCCTTTAAAAAAGAAAAACACAACTTAAATAGATTTATGTGACAAAAACATGCTGTTGTAACATAAAACCTGGTCTGTTTAGTGTTTGGAAATTACTTCCTCATTGCTCTTCTCTGGAGCTAGGGTTCGTTTCTAGAGAAGTGTGCGTCACAGTCATCCAGTATGTTTGCTTTCACAAATAGCGAGGCAAAGATCTGCAACGATAAGGGATTACAGACTACTGGCCAAATGAAGCCAAGATTCTCGTTGTGATGCAGCAAATCCTTTAAATAATAAAGATTTTAAATCAGTTAAAAATGTATTTTGAAAATGATTCATTTATTTCATGTGCACTGGCTTGGTAATAAATGTTTCTATTAACAAGGAAGATTTCTGATTGTGTGTTAAGTTCTTAAATACGAACGCTTTTGAAAAAATGCTAATAAATCTACATCGTATGGCAAGGCTCTAATAGTATTTTATTTCTATCTAGTACTTTTAAGTGCTCAAACAGTTTGTAAGTTTGTAAACACATACCTCTGTTTTTTTATATTTGTCATATACAGTAGATGTGTCATGATGAGTTAAGAGTTAAATGCGTCACCAACTCTAAGGGCCTCTGAAAAATAAAAAAACAATCCAGAGCTTTAGTTCCAAATAACTAAACTTCTAATTATTCAACCTTTTGTAGGTGCAGCAAATGACTATTGCCTTCATGATCTAGGCAAAACAGTACCTAGTAACTAGGTATGGGTGAAAAGAAGAAAGATCAGTTAAACTTTACAATAACCATTTATTAATGGTAAAGGGACCAATTATTAATGATTAGCAGATAGCTTATTAATGTTTGATTCATTTATAAACTGCATCTAAACCATTTATAACAGCTAAATTGATAATTTATTAAGGTATTAAGCCCACTGATGTTAGGACAAGTCCAACATAACGGTATGTCCTTCCATTAGGAAAAATCATTCAGGGATTTGATGATGTTTCCCACCATCTGTTTGCTGATGATATCCAGTTTTACTTCTCCTTTAAGTCCTAAGAGATGCAGAAGTGAAGCTCTCTGCTGAATTTCCTTGTGCACGTTTAACAATGCCTTTGGTGAAAATTCCCTGCAAATAAACTCCAATAAATTCCAGGTATCCACCAGTATCTGGGTGACTTGAGTTTGTCTGCTGAACCAAGCCTTAGAAACCTAGGTGTTATTTTTAACAAAACATTGTACTTAGAGCACCACTCACAACTGCTGACAAGGAACTGTTTTTACCAACTGAGGAAAATCTCTAAACTTAAAACAATTGTGTCCAGAGATGATCTTGAAATGATTATCCACACCTTTGTGATTCCTGTTTAGACTACTGTTACAGTCTATTCCTATGTCTAAACAAAAAGGAGTTATCTCATCTTCAGCAGGTTTAGAACTCTGCGATGATGTTACTGACTAGTACAAACAGAAGGGCTCATATTAGGCCGATTATAAAAGATCTTCATTTGCTCCTAGTCTCTTTTCGGTTCAGGTTTAAAATCCTGGTGCTGACCTTCAGGGCTTTTAACAGTCAGGCTCCCTCCTACATTAGAGACTTGTTGTGTCCTTATACCCGCTCTCGCAGGCTGAGGTCTCAGGACCAGAACCTGCTCATGGTCCCTTGTACTCGTCACAGGACCAGGGAAGATCGCTCCATTCAGACGGTCGCACCAGTGTTCTGGAACCATCTTCCCCTTTCCTTGCGCTTACTTGATTCTGTTGATCTTTTTAAGAGTGAACTGAAAACCTATTTTTTAAAGAAAATATTTGAATTCTAGTAGATTAATGGCTGTTTAATGACCATGTTTTGTGACTGTACTGTATATGTATTTTTATTTGTATTGTAATTTTGTGAAGCACTTTGGGACCTTTATGTCTGTGAAAGGTGCTATATAAATAAACATTACTTACTTACTTATAACTAATTTAGATAAAAAATAAAGGCAAGGCTCAGGTCTTAGGTCTACAGATGTTAGAGTTAATGCTAAACTAACATGGCAGGGCAATATGATCTATTTACCTTTTGTTAATGGTCTTTAGAGGATGTTTAAAAAAAAAAAAGATAAAAAATGAGTAAACTATCTGTTCAACATTAATACATTTTCTCTTTTCCATTTATAAATAATGGGTATTGTAAAGTGTTGCCGAAAAATCTTAAAATTAATTTAAAACTATTGATAGAGGTACACGTCCTTTCTCTCAGTGTTAAAATCATAACAGTATTGCAATGGAACTCTAAGGTATACCAGCTATACAGAGAATTTAATAGTTTTTATACTGGAAGTTTTTAATTTAAGTCAGTTTTACAAAACAAATATTGAAGTTTGTTGATAGTGCAAGGTTTATAATTTGCTGTTTTTCAAACATTTTTGATGTTTCTGTCCAGAACTAAGGTCACTGTCAAAAGTGGCTCCAAGGTTCTGACCACCGCATACTTTCATCCTAAAATTTAACCTCAGTTTTTCACATTTTCCCAATAAAGGAATCTCAATTTTAAAATGAATAAAATTCAGTCACATCCATGACGTAAGAGATCTGCAAACATCTGATAGAGATAATTCTAATTTTATATAATCTACACAATGGTAAAAACTAATGGTACATCTTTATTTTCCTATACATATTCCAGAGAAAAAATGTTTTTAAAAAAAATTTAAGGGTTGGGGACGGAAGCTTTGGGGAATTAATAAAATTTCTTGGAAAAAACAAGGCAATGTCTTTAGGCTAAGAATAGTTTCATGCCATTTAATAGATTTAGAAAGGCCCACTTAGCTTGTTCTACAGGACCTCAAGGGCTCCCCTAAAGAAAGCAACACTTAATGGACAGGATATTCATTATCTCTAGTGCGGAGGTCTTTAACAGGGGGTCCGCGACCCCTAGGGGGTCCACGGAGGTACTGCATGGGGGTCACGAAAGTGTTTTTTTTTTTTTTTATGTTCTTCACTGCAATATTTTTCCACTAATTGAAATGTCTTTAAATCCACATTAATATGAATTCAACACACTGAAGTAAACAGATAAATGGAGGCAGAAGAAGTCTTTCAGTCATCAATACACATTCAGCAACACACAGGAGCTCTTTCAACCTGGGCACCGTTTCATTCACAACACCTGTCCCATCAACCAGGAATCAGAGTCTGATATACTTGAATAATCCCAGGGCGTTATAATTTTAGTTGCATTACTCTATATGTAATAGAGTGACTATAGGACCAGTTTGATAAAACACAATTTCATACAATATGTATAATTAGGGTTCCCCGCTCCATTTGCCATCAGTTTGGGGGTCCTTGGCCTGGAAAAGGTTGAAGACCCCTGCTCTAGTGTGATCTGTTATGCACAAAACATTTGCTTTATTTTACTGATGAACGGAAGGCTTGAGATCAGTATATTTCAGCGTGGTCTCTAAAACTGATTTTAGATGCCTTCAGGTGAGGTTTTTGGTGAATCAGAAAATATTTATTTTCCTGTAATAACATTTAACAACTCAAAAAACTTTAAACTCAAAACTTGCATAATAAAGCTCTAGTTACCCAGTTTTAAAACTTTGTAAATAACATATATGAACGGATTAAATTTGTAAGTTATTGTATTTTCACTTTGATAAAGATTTAGTCCATTTAACTGAAACTAAACTGTCTTAGTTACATATATGATGCCAATGACAACACAGAGACTCCCCCAATTAAGCTTTTCAAGGTTATTAGAGCATCTAGAAAACTGGGTCGGCCTTTCTGGTACAGTACTAGATTGGTTTAAATCCTGCCTGAAGGATAGATACTTTGATGTGTAGAGAACTTAAAATCAGAGACCACAGAAATCACATGCAGGGTTCCTCAAGGCTCCGTTCTGGGGCTCCTCCTGTTCATTTTCTATGTGCCCCTCTTAGCTCTTTTCTTCTGCTTTATTGTTTAATTCATATAAAGCAGTTTTCTATTCTCTGCACTGACTTTTGTTTTGCACATAGACATGCCTTGCTTCGCCTATTTATTCTATCCTTGATTATTTTATTAAGTTTGTATAAATTCCTTTATCTCAGTTGGGCTTGTAATGTTTTCTGTAAACCAATGTTGCAGCATGAGACAGCCTCATGAGCAACATTTGTACCGAATCACGTTTGCTCTACTTCCATCTGGTGTTCTTTTTGTGCATATGTTGTCACTCTTTCCTGTCACACACCTTTACACCTGTGTGTTGGAAAAATCTTATCAAACTAAAGAAATAGGCTTTACTGTTGCAATTTTATGTGTAGCATTAAAGATCCAACATATTCTAACATATTTAAGAACCTCAGCACTACTTTTAACTCCTCCAACCACTTCATTCACCTTACTTAAAAGAAAGCCAAAGATGTTTCCTATAAGAGGAGGAGTTTATGTTTGGGAGAAGAAGCTAACTGGAGGAGGAGCAGGATCCTGATTAACTGTGTGCTCTGTGATTGGAAGGATCTGGCAGAGTAGGCTGGTTATTCCAGTGGAACCTGATTTGATCACAGATTATGATTTTTTTTTTCTTTCTTTTATTATTTGAGCTCTCATGTCACTAGTGACATTTCCATCCACTCAACCTTTCTGCACACCTGAAGCTCAGACCTGCATTATGCAGCAACCGGCAAGACAGAGGCTGAGGCCATGGCTGGAGGAGCAGATTCAGTCGGGGAAGTATCCAGGTGTCAGCTGGCTGGATCAGGTAGACCCCTTCATCTCACTCTGCTCCTCCCTTTTTACATCCACAGAAACATGTACATACACAGCTAAGTTCATGTTGTTTCTTGTGGATGATATAAAACTGACAGACTAAATAGAGAAAAGTTTAGTAACGCATATGAAATCTAAAATATTTGATCTTGTCCGACAGTCAGCTCGGATCTTCCAGATTCCTTGGAAGCATGCTGCTCGTCATGGTTGGAGCATTGACCGGGATGCCACGCTCTTTAGGAGTTGGGCAATGCACACAGGTAAAGTCTACAAACACATATAAAATCTGTTGGGGCTTAATTCAAATGAACTGTAGATACTCCATCAGCCTCCTATGGTACTGATTATATTCAGCACAGCATTCAGTAACAGACTTGACTGTTGTTGTTGAAGCTTCATCAGCTATGGTTTTACACACAAGAACAATTAATGATGCTAAAGTATTGCTCAGATCTATAATGGAACTTTTGAGATTCAATTAAAAAGTGTTTGCAATTAAAAAGGGACCATGTTTCAACTGCCTGATCTGTTTAGAAACAGATGCTATGGATGTTACGGTACTTGTTTCAAGCCGTGCAAGAGCGTGATCCAACAAGACCAAGGAGAAAACTAAACAAAGGAGAACAGTTAGAAAAAAAATATGTTTTATACATATATATAATTTATACTGTATATATTAAAAATTATTTATATATATATATTTTTTTTATTATTTATATATATACATATATGAAATAAATATAAATTCTAAGTATATAATATAAAGAATAATATATATA